TACAGACTCCAGCATACAGACTCCAATATACAGACTCCAGCATACAGACTCCAGTATACAGACTCCAGCATACAGACTCCAGTACACAGACTCCAGTACACAGACTCCAGCATACAGCCTCCAGCATACAGACTCCAGCATACAGACTCCAGCATACAGACTCCAGTATACAGACTCCAGCATACAGACTCCAGCATACAGACTCCAGTACACAGACTCCAGTATACAGACTCCAGCATACAGACTCCAGTATACAGACTCCAGTATACAGACTCCAGTATACAGACTCCAGCATACAGACTCCAGTATACAGACTCCAGCATACAGACTCCAGTATACAGACTCCAGTATACAGACTCCAGTATACAGACTCCAGTATACAGACTCCAGTATACAGACTCCAGTATACAGACTCCAGTACACAGACTCCAGTATACAGACTCCAGCATACAGACTCCAGTATACAGACTCCAGTATACAGACTCCAGCATACAGACTCCAGTATACAGACTCCAGCATACAGACTCCAGCATACAGACTCCAGCATACAGACTCCAGTACACAGACTCCAGCATACAGACTCCAGCATACAGACTCCAGTATACAGACTCCAGCATACAGACTCCAGCATACAGACTCCAGCATACAGACTCCAGTACACAGACTCCAGCATACAGACTCCAGCATACAGACTCCAGTATACAGACTCCAGTATACAGACTCCAGTATACAGACTCCAGCATACAGACTCCAGTATACAGACTCCAGTATACAGACTCCAGCATACAGACTCCAGCATACAGACTCCAGTATACAGACTCCAGCATACAGACTCCAGCATACAGACTCCAGTATACAGACTCCAGCATACAGACTCCAGCATACAGACTCCAGCATACAGACTCCAGCATACAGACTCCAGCATACAGACTCCAGCATACAGACTCCAGCATACAGACTCCAGTATACAGACTCCAGTATACAGACTCCAGTTCACAGACTCCAGCATACAGACTCCAGCATACAGACTCCAGCATACAGACTCCAGCATACAGACTCCAGCATACAGACTCCAGCATACAGACTCCAGTATACAGACTCCAGTATACAGACTCCAGTATACAGACTCCAGTTCACAGACTCCAGTATACAGACTCCAGCATACAGACTCCAGTATACAGACTCCAGTACACAGACTCCAGTATACAGACTCCAGCATACAGACTCCAGTATACAGACTCCAGTATACAGACTCCAGTATACAGACTCCAGTATACAGACTCCAGTATACAGACTCCAGTATACAGACTCCAGTATACAGACTCCAGTATACAGACTCCAGCATACAGACTCCAGTATACAGACTCCAGTACACAGACTCCAGCATACAGACTCCAGCATACAGACTCCAGTATACAGACTCCAGTTCACAGACTCCAGCATACAGACTCCAGTACACAGACTCCAGTATACAGACTCCAGCATACAGACTCCAGCATACAGACTCCAGCATTCAGACTCCAGTATACAGACTCCAGTATACAGACTCCAGTTCACAGACTCCAGTATACAGACTCCAGTATACAGACTCCAGTTCACAGACTCCAGTATACAGACTCCAGTACACAGACTCCAGCATACAGACTCCAGCATACAGACTCCAGTATACAGACTCCAGTATACAGACTCCAGTATACAGACTCCAGTTCACAGACTCCAGTTCACAGACTCCAGTTCACAGACTCCAGTATGCAGACTCCAGTATACAGACTCCAGTACACAGACTCCAGCATACAGACTCCAGCATACAGACTCCAGCATACAGACTCCAGTATACAGACTCCAGTATACAGACTCCAGTACACAGACTCCAGCATACAGACTCCAGTACACAGACTCCAGTATACAGACTCCAGTATACAGACTCCAGTATACAGACTCCAGTATACAGACTCCAGTATACAGACTCCAGTATACAGACTCCAGCATACAGACTCCAGTATACAGACTCCAGTATACAGACTCCAGTATACAGACTCCAGTATACAGACTCCAGTATACAGACTCCAGCATACAGACTCCAGTATACAGACTCCAGTATACAGACTCCAGTATACAGACTCCAGTACACAGACTCCAGTATACAGACTCCAGTATACAGACTCCAGTATACAGACTCCAGCATACAGACTCCAGTATACAGACTCCAGTACACAGACTCCAGCATACAGACTCCAGCATACAGACTCCAGTACACAGACTCCAGTATACAGACTCCAGTACACAGACTCCAGTATACAGACTCCAGTTCACAGACTCCAGTATACAGACTCCAGTATAAAGACTCCAGCATAAAGACTCCAGTATACAGACTCCAGCATACAGACTCCAGTACACAGACTCCAGCATACAGACTCCAGTATACAGACTCCAGTATACAGACTCCAGTATACAGACTCCAGTTCACAGACTCCAGTATACAGACTCCAGTTCACAGACTCCAGTATACAGACTCCAGCATACAGACTCCAGCATACAGACTCCAGTATACAGACTCCAGTATACATACTCCAGCATACAGACTCCAGCATACAGACTCCAGCATACAGACTCCAGTATACAGACCCCAGTACACAGACTCCAGTACACAGACTCCAGCATACAGACTCCAGTATACAGACTCCAGCATACAGACTCTAGTATACAGACTCCAGTATACAGACTCCAGTATACAGACTCCAGTATACAGACTCCAGCATACAGACTCCAGCATACAGACTCCAGAATACAGACTCCAGTATACAGACTCCAGTATACAGACTCCAGTATACAGACTCCAGTACACAGACTCCAGTATACAGACTCCAGTATACAGACTCCAGTTCACAGACTCCAGTATACAGACTCCAGCATACAGACTCCAGTATACAGACTCCAATATACAGACTCCAGCATACAGACTCCAGTATACAGACTCCAGTATACAGACTTCAGCATAAAGACTCCAATATACAGACTCCAGCATACAGACTTCAGCATACAGACTCCAGCATACAGACTCCAGCATACAGACTCCAGTATACAGACTCTAGTATACAGACTCCAGTATACAGACTCCAGTATACAGACTCTAGTATACAGACTCCAGTATACAGACTCCAGTATACAGACTCCAGTATACAGACTCCAGTATACAGACTCCAGAACACAGACTCCAGCATACAGACTCCAGTATACAGACTCCAGTATACAGACTCCAGTATACAGACTCCAGTATACAGACTCCAGTATACAGACTCTAGTATACAGAATCCAGTATACAGACTCCAGCATACAGACTCCAGTATACAGACTCCAGCATACAGACTCCATTACACAGACTCCAGTATACAGACTCCAGTTTACAGACTCTAGCATACAGACTCCAGTATACAGACTCCAGTTTACAGATTCCAGTATACAGACTCCAGCATACAGACTCCAGTACACAGACTCCAGTATACAGACTCCAGTATACAGACTCCAGTATACAGTCTCCAGCATACAGACTCCAGTATACAGACTCCAATATACAGACTCCAGCATACAGACTCCAGTATACAGACTCTAGTATACAGACTCCAGCATACAGACTCCAGCATACAGACTCCAGTATACAGACTCCAGTATACAGACTCCAGAATACAGACTCCAGTATACAGACTCCAGTATACAGACTCCAGCATACAGACTCCAGTACACAGACTCCAGTACACAGACTCCAGTATACAGACTCCAGTACACAGACTCCAGTATACAGACTCCAGCATACAGACTCCAGTACACACACTCCAGTATACAGACTCCAGTATACAGACTCCAGTACACAGACTCCAGTATACAGACTCCAGCATACAGACTCCAGCATACAGACTCCAGCATACAGACTTCAGCATACAGACTCCAGCATACAGACTTCAGCATACAGACTCCAGTACACAGACTCCAGTATACAGACTCCAGTACACAGACTCCAGTATACAGACTGCAGTATACAGACTCCAGCATACAGACTTCAGCATACAGACTCCAGCATACAGACTCCAGTACACAGACTCCAGTATACAGACTCCAGCATACAGACTCCGTACACAGACTCCAGTATACAGACTCCAGTATACAGACTCCAGTATACAGTCTCCAGCATACAGACTCCAGTATACAGACTCCAATATACAGACTGCAGCATACAGACTCCAGTATACAGACTCCAGTATACAGACTCCAGCATACAGACTCCAGCATACAGACTCCAGTATACAGACTCCAGTATACAGACTCCAGAATACAGACTCCAATATACAGACTTGAGCATACAGACTCCAGTACACAGACTCCAGCATACAGACTCCAGAATACAGACCCCAGTACACAGACTCCAGCATACAGACTCCAATATACAGACTTCAGCATACAGACTCCAGTACACAGACTCCAGCATACAGACTCCAGCATACAGACTCCAGCATACAGACTCCAGTATACAGACTCCATCATACAGACTTCAGCATACAGACTCCAGTACACAGACTCCAGTATACAGACTCCAGTATACAGACTCCAGCATACAGACTCCAGCATACAGACTTCAGCATACAGACTCCAGTACACAGACTCCAGTATACAGACTCCAGTATACAGACTCCAGCATACAGACTCCAGTATACAGCCTCCAGTACACAGCCTCCAGTACACAGACTTGAGGGCCTAGGGGCCTGGGGTAACTTGAACATTCTCCGCCAATTTTTTCCGCAAAAAACAAACAAGTCTAGCTCTATAGTGTTTATATTAATGAAGTATATCACAACTAAATAACCTAACCTAACCTAACCTAACCTAACCTAACCTAACCTAACCTAACCTAACCTAACCTAACCTAACCTAACCTAACCTAACCTAACCTAACCTAACCAACGAATGTGAGACAATCTAAGCAAGCTGAGAAAGACAGGATCACGAATATGAACCAAACGAAGCAAGCTGAGAAAGACAGGATCACGAATATGAACCAAACGAAGCAAGCTGAGAAAGACAGGATCACGAATATGAAGCACACGAAGCAAGCTGAGAAAAACAGGATCACGAATATGAACCACACGAAGCAAGCTGAGAAAGACAGGATCACGAATATGAACCAAACGAAGCAAGCTGAGAAAGACAGGATCACGAATATGAACCAAACGAAGCAAGCTGAGAAAGACAGGATCACGAATATGAACCAAACGAAGCAAGCTGAGAAAGACAGGATCACGAATATGAACCAAACGAAGCAAGCTGAGAAAGACAGGATCACGAATGTGAACCAAACGAAGCAAGCTGAGAAAGACAGGATCACGAATGTGAACCAATCGGCTCCAGCAACACACCAGACGAGTCGTAACCGTAGCTACAGAACGCCCCCAGGAAACAGGAAGCAGTAGAGGTTACGGACACAATCGTGCGAATCACGTCCGGACCGCCAATCACAACCACGAAGCCGCGATCAACACCCAGGAACCAATAAAAGTGAATGAATAGAGATAAAAGGGAGTGACTAATGCATGTTCTACAACAAGCTACTAACCTTTCTAAATGCCAAAGATTTGTAATTTAAGGAGGAAACTGTTGTGTACTGTACGCCGCCAGAGCCCCACCCGCGGACAAAAACCAGGCGCCCGAGGTCGCCCCTTAAAATGGGCGGGAACGTCTGCGAGAGTCCTTCCTTATGTTGGGTAAGTCCTTCCTTATGTTGGGTAAGTTCTTCCTTATGTTGGGTAAGTCCTTCCTTATGTTGGGTAAGTCCTTCCTTATGTTGGGTAAGTCCTTCCTTATGTTGGGTAAGTTCTTCCCTTATGTTGGGTAAGTCCTTCCTTATGTTGGGTAAGTCCTTCCTTATGTTGGGTAAGTCCTTCCTTATGTTGGGTAAGTCCTTCCTTATGTTGGGTAAGTCCTTCCTTATGTTGGGTAAGTCCTTCCTTATGTTGGGTAAGTCCTTCCTTATGTTGGGTAAGTCCTTCCTTATGTTGGGTAAGTCCTTCCTTATGTTGGGTAAGTCCTTCCTTATGTTGGGTAAGTCCTACCTTATGTTGGGTAAGTCCTTCCTTCACAATAGACAATCTCAATCATTAGTTAAATCTTTCCTTAAAATTAGTTAATCCAACTTTATAATAAGTTATGCATTCTTTATAATGAGTAAAATCCATCAGGACTCACCAACACCCACTCTGACCCACCATGACCCACCTTGACTCACTTTGACCCACCATGACCCACCGTGACTCACTTTGACCCACCATGACCCACCTTGACTCACTTTGACCCACCATGACCCACCTTGACTCACTCTGACCCACCATGACCCACCGTGACTCACTTCGACCCACCATGACCCACCGTGACTCACTTTGACCCACCTTGACTCACTTTGACCCACCGTGACCCACCTTGACTCACACTGACCCACCATGACCCACCGTGACTCACTTCGACCCAACTGACCCACCTTGACTCACTTTGACCCACCATGACCCACCTTGACTCACTTTGACCCACCTTGACTCGTTTTGACCCACCATGACCCACCTTGACTCACTTTGACCCACTGTGACCCACCATGACCCACCATGACCCACCTTGACTCACTTTGACTCACTTTGACCCACATGACCCACCTTGACTCACTAGGACCCACCTTGACTCATTTTGACCCACCATGACCCACCTTGACTCACCATGACCCACCTTGACTCACTTTGACCCACTGTGACCCACCATGACCCACCTTGACTCAATTTGACTCACTTTGACCCACCATGACCCACCTTGACTCACTAGGACCCACCTTGACTCACTAGGACCCACCTTGACTCATTTTGACCCACCATGACCCACCTTGACTCACCATGACCCACCTTGACTCACTTTGATCCACTGTGACCCACCTTGACTCACTTTGACTCACTGTGACCCACCATGACCCACCTTGACTCACTTTGACTCACTTTGACCCCACCATGACCCACCATGACTCACTAGGACCCACCATGACTCACTAGGACCCACCATGACCCACCTTGACTCACTAGGACCCACCATGACTCACTAGGACCCACCATGACTCACTAGGACCCACCATGACCCACCTTGACTCACTTTGACCCCACCATGACCCACCTTAACTCATTTTGACCCATCATGACCCACCTTGACTCATTTTGACCCATCATGACCCACCTTGACTCACTTTGACCCACCTTGACTCACTTTGACCCACCATGACCCATCTTGACTCATTTTGACCCACCTTGACTCACTTTGACCCACCTTGACTCATTTTGACTCACCATGACCCACCTTGACTCACTTTGACCCACCATGACCCACCTTGACTCATTTTGACCCACCATGACCCGCCTTGACTCACTTTGACCCATCATGACCCACCTTGACCCACCATGACCCACCTTGACTCACTTTGACTCATGATGACCCACCTTGACCCACTTCGACCCATTATTGTAAACTATTCAGATTAGTAGTTCGAACATTGAGAACAGCTGAACAAGAACAACAGAGAGCAGCTGGACAAGAACAACAGAGAGCAGCTGGACAAGAACAACAGAGAGCAGCTGGACAAGAACAACAGAGAGCAGCTGGACAAGAACAACAGAGGGCAGCTGGACAAGAACAACAGAGGGCAGATGGACAAGAACAACAGAGAGCAGCTGGACAAGAACAACAGAGAGCAGCTGGACAAGAACAACAGAGAGCAGCTGGACAAGAACAACAGAGGGCAGATGGACAAGAACAACAGAGGGCAGATGGACAAGAACAACAGAGAGCAGCTGGACAAGAACAACAGAGAGCAGCTGGACAAGAACAACAGAGAGCAGCTGGACAAGAACAACAGAGAGCAGCTGGACAAGAACAACAGAGAGCAGCTGGACAAGAACAACAGAGAGCAGCTGGACAAGAACAACAGAGGGCAGCTGGACAAGAACAACAGAGAGCAGCTGGACAAGAACAACAGAGAGCAGCTGGACAAGAACAACAGAGGGCAGCTGGACAAGAACAACAGAGAGCAGCTGGACAAGAACAACAGAGGGCAGATGGACAAAAACAACAGAGAGCAGATGGACAAGAACAACAGAGGGGCAGCTAGACAAGAACAACAGAGAACAGCTGGACGAACCATCTAACAAGAAGAACAGACGTCGTGAATCAAAGAAAATTGCCCAATACGTTTGAGAGATGAAATCGCATAAAGTAACACATTTGCAAGACTTACATTGCTAAACGAATCATGGAAAATCTCCGAACGAAGACAAAAAAAGAATATAATAATTTTATTTTTTTGCCTCTGGACGAATAAGTAATATTACAGACTGTGACGCCATGAGCTGCGCGGTGAGAGCAGAGGAGAGTGGCCTTTATACCTAAATGGTTTCGAGACGACTTTACTGTGATGGCAGTCGCTCGAACAAGACAATTGGCTCCTGTTCACGTGGGTGAGCGAGGCGTTGCGGCCGCGAACTCGTGTTGACCACGTGGCGGCCGCCGTTCTTGCACGGGACGCCGCTGCCATCGCCTCATCAGAGGCACTGAATAAAAGGCGCTACTACTTTCCTCCCCACGAAGTAAAGCTCATAATAAAGCAATTATTCTAGGTGTTGACGAAGTAATATTTGTCACTATGTAACTGTACTGCATAAATAATTTATATCGAAATCTGTAAGTTTTTATGAGAGTTGCGCGAGCGTACGCTTGCAGCTGGCATCTGCAAGCTCTTGTTCCTGTACCTGCGCCCTTGGTAGTGTACGCCAGCCTAGCCGCGCGGCCCAGACATAACTCAGAGCCTTCGGCCCCACACTGATTACCACACACATATATAAGGCTCTCAGGCACGAATAATTCACCGTCATTTGTAAAGAAACTCCCATACCGGGCGGGTCTATGGGACGGACCGCGATCTTCTCTTTTTCTTGAAGATTCTCTAGCAGAAAGACGCGTCTTGGATTAAAGAAGACTACTATTAAGAAGTTTATTGGGTAATGGAAGAAAATTTAAAATTTATCGGCAAGTTATGTAACTTGCTGATGAAACATCGACTTGACAGAAATTCTTGTGTGTTAATTGGAAAAAATGAAAATTTACCCAATTTGCGAGTAACTCTTGTGTGTTCATTGTAGAAATAGTGTGATTCAGTAGTGATTCGTGTGAATTGGTGGAGGGAGACAGCTGACCCAGCAGTAACTAGCGAGTGTTGGTGGAGGGAGACAGCTGACCCAGCAGTAACTAGCGAGTGTTGGTGGAGGGAGACAGCTGACCCAGCAGTAACTAGCGAGTGTTGGTGGAGGGAGACAGCTGACCCAGCAGTAACTAGCGAGTGTTGGTGGAGGGAGACAGCTGACAGCAGTAACAGCGAGTAACTAGTAACGAGTGTTGGTGGAGGGAGACAGCTGACCCAGCAGTAACTAGCGAGTGTTGGTGGAGGGAGACAGCTGACCCAGCAGTAACTAGTGAGTGTTGGTGGAGGGAGACAGCTGACCCAGCAGTAACTAGTGAGTGCTGTGGAGGAGCAAGACCAACACAGCAGGATGGCCGGAACTATAATGACGGCACTGAGGGCCATTACTGTGGAACCTGTCATGCTCGTCGACGGAGCGTGCAAAGAGGCCATGCTCCTCTTCATCGAGAATGTTCAGTTGAACAAGATATGCTCCGTCAACTTCGGGCTCCCCCCACATGTAAGTGTTGACTTTAATTGTATTAAAACCATCCTCACATGTTATTTAAGGATTCCAAGCCAATTTCCAAGATTAGGCCATTCAAACATTACTGATCCAACATCTTTTGTTAATGGCCAGTTTAACCCCAAGTCAAGACTCTGCTCTAAAAAGTGGTTCATTGTCCGGACTCTGTCAACTACTCGAATGTTCCTCTTCAGTTCTTTGAACACAAAATTAGCGAGGATAGGAAATTGAATAATATATATATGGGTCCACAAGGTCTTCTCTGAGTACTCTTTATTTTCTTCTCCGAGGCTATGGGTCCATACAATTGCACCAGAGGTGGAGAGGTGGTACCCTTTAAAATAATATATATATATATATATATATATATATATATATATATATATATATATATATGTGTGTGTGTGTGTGTGTGTGTGTGTGTGTGTGTGTGTGTGTGTGTGTGTGTGTGTGTGTGTGTGTGTGTGTGTGTGTGTGTGTGTGTGTGTGTACACTCACCTAGTTGTGCTTGCGGGGGTTGAGCTCTGGCTCTTTGGTCCCGCCTCTAACTGGTGTACAGGTTCGTGAGCCTACTGGGCTCTATCATATCTACATTATAATCTGTGTATGGAGTCAGCCTCCACCACATCACTGCCTAATGCATTCCATCCGTTAACTAATTTGACACTGAAAAAAATAATATTTCTAATGTCTTTGTGGCTCATCTGGGTCCTAAGTTTCCACCTGTGTCCCCTTGTTTGTGTCCCACCCGTGCTGAAGAGTTTGTCTTTGTCCACCCTGTCAATTCCCCTGAGAATGTGTGTGTTTAAATGACGAAGAAATTAACACGTGATGAACAATGTGACAATGTCAGACCACAAAGGAAGGATCAAGACAGGAATTTCCTTGAGTACTTATATATATATATATATATATATATATATATATATATATATATATATATATATATATATATATATATATATATATAGGGGGTACCACCTCTGGTGTAATTATAGGGACCCACAGCCTCAGAGAAGGGAACACAGAGCATTCAGGGAAAAACTTGCCATTTAACTCTGAATGTGTAAGAGTGTTCGCTTCTCCTACCACCCCCCCCCCTCTTTTTATGGTGTACACTTTATTATGCAGGGTTATACAGTTACATATCTGATTTTATACAACAAATTAACATTAAGAGGACACAAAAAAAAGCTCGCTTCCTAGAGGCTGTAGATTTCCTCGAACTCCTCCGACGCCGGGCAGGAACCGAGGATGCAGCGAGCATTCCCCCTCTGGATCGCGACACTGAGGCGCTGAAAGAGAAAACTTGCTGCTCTAGGGTCTCTTGTGGTGTCAATGAGCTTGGAACCAAGATCCTTAAGAAACCTTCTTGCACTCTCTCCCCATGGGCCTAGGGGCTCAGACCCTATTGGAACGATGTTGTACCGATGATCTAATTGCCTGTACTTGGCTGACTTGTCTCTTTCTCTGCGTGTCGCCGCGGCTCCTGCTGTGCCGGCAGAGAGGTTGATGTATGTGGTTGCCAGGGTGGATACACAAGTATAGTCCCATGCCAACTGTCTGCCACCCTTCCACGGTCGCAGTGTGATTCCGTCTGGTCGGCCGGCAAAGCTAACAGAGTCACGGTTCAGTAGGTTGCGGGGCTCTCTCTCTGCTGGACACTGAGCAGAGGCAAGGCTTCTTTTAATGATGTAATTGACTTCGTCATGTCTAGTGTGCCAACCAGCAGATTTTCCACAGTGCAGGCCATGCAGTCCATATTCATCAGCATCTGCCTCGCCGCAAATACACCTGTGAACAGTGTGGATAGGGGCAGCAAGACGGAGAGCGACTGCAATACGGAGCTTTTGCGGATCAAGACGTGTGCCTGTCGCAGACATAGGGACTGCCAGAAGGAAGTCCCCTGCATGGGGAGCCTGCACAGCTGTGAGGCGTGCACGATCACTGGGGGTTGTTGCTGCCTCCAGCAAAGCTGTGGCTTCTTTGTCTACAATGGGGCTGTCCCAGCTGGATTGTTTCTTGGCTTTCGGCATGGCTGGTCTGAGTGCTGGGTCTGCCATGGCACCCCATTTCGTGTCGCATTCCGTGTAGTGGGGGTCCTGTATCCCCGCTACATCACTCAGGGTGTCAGGTAGAATTTCCTTAACCAGGTCATCTGATGCTGAGGAGGAAGACAGGAAGGCTGGGACAGCAATTAGGGTGGCAGTGCGGACACCCAAGCCACCGAGCCTAACAGGAAGAGTGGCTTGTTTCCACTGGCATTCGTTGAGGGAGAGGTCAACAACTTTTTCCAGCATGGTCTTCAGTAAGAGGTCATACTCTTCAAGCTTTCGGCTGTCGAAAGATGGGGCGCACCTCATAAAGTAGGTTAACCTCGGAAGGGATAGGCATTTGGTGAGGAGATAAAAAGCATCGTGGGCATCGATGTCACCTATTCTCTCTTCCATCCTCCTAAGGTCTGCGATTTTCTTGTCAAGGATCTCCTCAATGGCATTAGACCCGAGGGGGGCTCCAAGGAGGGTGCTGTTCTCGGCCCTAATGACATGGGCTCCAGGCAAGGCAGACCTTATTCTAGCTACGATGTCTGGGTTGGAAGAGACTACTTCACACTTGGAAGGGTTCAGGACAAGACCCAGGCTTACTTCTTGCTCCCTTATTTTCCTGATATCTGACAAGAGGTGGTCTACGGTGCCAGCTATAGTGCCATCATCCAAAAAACAGATGTTGAACTCGCTGGACAAGCTTTCGGTGATTTCTTTTAAGACTAAGCAGAAAAGAAGAGGAGCAAGAGGATCACCTTGCTGAACACCTTCACATGATCTGATTTCATGTTCACCAAAGAGCAGTTTTGACTCGCCACTGTAGCACGATAGTATGAACGGGTAGATGGGCCGGAAATGGCAATGTACGGCACAAAGTACTGCATCTCTTCTGACCATGTTGAAGGCATTCTTAAAGTCCACTTTGAGCAGGGCCTTTTCATCAGAAATGTATATATATATATATATATATATATATATATATATATATATATATATATATATATATATAATGTATATATATATATGTCGTACCTAGTAGCCAGAACTCACTTCTCAGCCTACTATTCAAGGCCCGATTTACCTAATAAGCCAAGTTTTCCTGAATTAATCTATTTACTATATTTTTTTTCTTATGAAATGATAAAGCAACCCTTTCTCTATGTATGAGGTCAATTTTTTTTTATTGGAGTTAAAATTAACGTAGATATATGACCGAACCTAACCAACCCTACCTAACCTAACCTAACCTATATTTATAGGTAATGTTAGGTTAGGTAGCCAAAAAAAGCTAGGTTAGGTTAGGTTAGGTAGGTTAGGTAGACGAAAAAACTTTAATTCATGAAAACTTGGCTTATTAGGCAAATCGGGCCTTGAATAGTAGGCTGAGAAGTGCGTTCTGGCTATTAGGTACGACATATATATATATATATATATATATATATATATATATATATATATATATATATATATATATATATATATATATATGTCGTACCTAGTAGCCAGAACGCACTTCTGAGCCTACTATGCAAGGCCCGATTTGCCTAATAAGCCAAGTTTTTATGAATTAATGTTTTTACGTTTACCTAACCTACCTAACCTAACCTAACCTAGCTTTTTCGGCTACCTAACCGAACCTAACCTATAAAGATAGGTTAGGTTAGGTTAGGTAGGGATGGTTAGGTTTAGTCATATATCTACGTTAATTTTAACTCCAATAAAAAAAATTGACCTCATACATAATGAAATCGGTAGCTTTATCATTTCATACGAAAAAAAATAGAGAAAATTTATTAATTCAAGAAAACTTGGCTTATTAGGCAAATCGGGCCTTGCATAGTAGGCTGACAAGTGCGTTCTGGCTATTAGGTACGACATATATATATATATATATATATATATATATATATATATATATATATATATATATATATATATATATATATATATATATATATATATATATATATATATATATATATATATATATATATCCCGTCCCATAATTCAAGAGCTCAAGTTCGATCCCCCGGAAGGACAGAACTGGTTGGACACGTTTCCTTTCACCTAATGCTTCTGTTTACCTAGTAGTAAAATAGGTACCTCCTATTACCTGGGGTACTTGGGGACAGTGCCCCAACCCAGCCTCCTAAGGTTTGCCTAACGTCAATAAAACGGTTAATTTAAAGTGGTCTCTCCTAACCTACCAGAGGACCCAAAACAGAAAACGGGACAGTCCGTCACTTTCGCCAGCCGCTTCCATTTTCTAGTACGGCAACTTTTCGCCTTATGTAACGCCTACGAGCGAAAAGCGACATTCTATGTAGGAGGCGAAAACCCCGGAATAACAGCTTCAGAAGACAATACGTTTCGAGACCACAACTAAACCAACATGCGAGAAACAAGGGGCCAGACTCACGAAAGCACTTACGCAAGCACTTACGAACGTGTTCATCTTTCCTCAATCTTTGACGGCTTTGGTTACATTTATTAAACAGTTTACAAGCATGAAAACTTCCCATTCAACTGTTGTTATTGTTATAAACAGTCTCCTGGTGCTTCGGAGCTCATTAACTGTTTAATAATTGGAAACAAAGCCGCCAAAGATTGAGAGAAGATGTACAGGTTCGTAAGTGTTTGCGTAAGTGCTTTCGTGAATCTGGCCCAAGGAATATACACTTAAGTTAGTCATGAGAAGCTTCAACACAACACTTCAACACTTTAATTCCCAAATAGAAGCAGTGAACCACTTGACCCACCTGGGGCCGCCTGAAAGCACCCAAACTGAACGCCTAGGAACAGAGACGAGATAAATATACAATAGACAGTAAGCTTTTCCTTGTCTCGTTCTTGGCGGCTTCGTTGTAGTTCAACAACCTGTTTACAGACGGTGATCTTTCCGAGGACACTACGGGCTCACCATAGCCCGTGCTACTTGGAACTCTGTTC